AAAAATATTCTTATATTTGTTTTTTTTTTTTGAGAGAGCTTTTACAATTAATTTTAAGGTATATTTACTTGCATCGAAAATTTAAATTTAGTGACTTAGATTAGTTAAGATATCAGAAACGCTCTGTATCTCGCAATAAAATAATTAAGTGATTTAACCACTAAGTATTTTAAAATCAAATTACCGAGCAAATGAGAAAAGTTCAAACTGTTCTAGTTAAGAAGTTACAAAAAAGGGTGCCTTATACCAGAGCTTCTTAAAGTGGGTTCCGTAGAAAAGTCACCGGGGTTCCGCGAAATTAATTTTGGTATGAATAAGCACGGCGGTCGATTTGAGTTGCACACAGAAAGAAAAGTTCTATAAACAGCTTCACCGAGACGCAATTATCTACATAGGAGCATTGAGCTGGCGCTTGACAGCTTGTTTGTTTTCTATCCGGTATGTGTTGTTGGCCGCTGTAGCCAAAGGGTTATATGAAACCTTCTACAAGGAACGCGATGAATTGCCAAATGAAATGTGAATTGTGATAACTGGGCACTTGATAAATCACCTGAAATATTAGTCAGATTATTTTTCGGATTTTAGGAGTAATATCGGTTTGGTACAAAATCCATTTACGAATAGATCATAGATCTTCAGAGTACTTCGACATTGAAACACACATTTGAATCTGCGTTTCTAAAAGAGTTTTGGGTTTATGTTAATACCGCAGACAGACATCTGGTAATTCTTCGAAGCATTTCCAAAATACCATATGCCTGTCACCAAATATTATAATGTTCTTCAAAAGACTACGTGAGCAACCTTGTATTTTTAGTAGAAAGAATACCACTTTCCGAAGGTTGTAATTTTGTGGTATTCTCATTGTGAATGGGCATTTCGCGCGGAACATGCCCAAAAATGACAGATGTCCGCCGCTCATTTATCAAAAAATCATTGAAGTTTCCGAGCGATTCAAGTCAAAAGTTCATACCGCAAGTTTTGATGCAATATATAAGCAATTTTTGCAATATTTTTGCATTTTTATGTTTATGAGTTGTTTTTCAGAAACATATAATTTGACACTGCAATACTAAGTTAATGTCTGTCACTATGGTAGTATTTTAAATACCACAATAATAGCTGAAATACAATGCCGGCGAACTCACCACAGCGAAATTCGCACTGTCAAAATTAGAACACCCGCATGCTATGAAATTGAACACAGCCAAAACGAAATGCGAAGTTCGCCCGTCGGCGTTTCATGGCGATAGATTTATTTCTATCACCCTGCTGGGCGATGACAGCTGTACGTGCCAAAGGTGGTCGTATTTCTTTTTTGCTTTCAAAGTTTTAGAAGAAAACAACATAAACACGNTAGCTGAAATACAATGCCGGCGAACTCACCACAGCGAAATTCGCACTGTCAAAATTAGAACACCCGCATGCTATGAAATTGAACACAGCCAAAACGAAATGCGAAGTTCGCCCGTCGGCGTTTCATGGCGATAGATTTATTTCTATCTCCCTGCTGGGCGATGACAGCTGTACGTGCCAAAGGTGGTCGTATTTCTTTTTTGCTTTCAAAGTTTTAGAAGAAAACAACATAAACACGAATTATTTTTGTTGTTTGGAAAATATAGTTGTGAATTCGTTAAATCTGGCTTGAAAGAAAGTAATTTATAATAATCTCCCTTTGTTTTACATTTATATTTGTTAGCATTGCCTCATTTCTAAATATGGTTTATAAGTTTTTTCTAAATATGGTCACCCAAATTATAAAGGCGGCCAAATAGTATCAGCTACCGCTCTAATTCTGTTCAAGTAGGCGAAATAGCTGGGCGAACGGTGAACGACAGCACCGCCCAATTCGGCGAAGTTTGCCGTTCGCCGGTATTGTATTCCAAGCTTAAATTTACCAGAATGCAAATACCAGTTGTCTGTCCCCGGTATAAGAGTAAATATCATAAAATCGCTAAAAAGGCCATCTTAACTTTGCTTCCTTCTGTCACAGCATACTCTGTCAAAAGGGTTTTAGCTTACACTTATACAAAAAACAAATTCAGGTCGAAATTGGATGCTACCCCAGAAATGCGCATACAGCTTTCAGACATACTATGGAACTACTATTTTATACAATAATTAATAACAGTGAAACAAGTTCATTGTTCACATTAAAATTTAAAGTATGTTTACTATTTCTAGCAAATGTTTTTATTCATATTTAAATTGCACTGCCTTTGATTTTTAGTAATTTGATGCCGGGTTCCATAAAATTAGAGATGTTTAGTAAGGGTTCCATCATCTTAAAAATTTAAGAACCCCTGCCTTATACTTTTCATCCACTATACAATGGACCTTCCTCTTGACAAATCACCATGTTTTGCAACAGTCGGACAACTTTTATTTTTGGAATATTGGCCAACTTTTTCGTAATTTCTCCCACTTTGCCCTTAAGGAAAAAATATCTTGTTGATTACTAAAACTTTGTAGCCGAGTAATCAGAGGGTCGTATTACTACCCTGCAAAAAATGGGACTAATCCGGGATGACTCCGGGAGCAATCGCAAAGGAACATGCGGCTAATACCATTTTTGATCTCTTTATATGGAATGAACTGTTCGCTTTTGTTCGAGCATGTCCTATGAAGAGACTAATTGTTCACCTTTATACCCGAAAGGGTATGAAAAGCGACTAGTCACTTTCAAAAAATAAAAATAAAAATTTGCGCCAGCTGAGATTCGAACCGGGTTGCTCAGTTTTGTTAGGCGAATACTCTCTCTGTGTGCCAACGCCGCACATGAAATTTCATTGACTAAGTGCGTACATATCATTCAATCGTTAATAGTACCCGTTAGAGATGAGTTGGGGATTAATTGATCTCCAATTATACCCATAAGGGACGAGACTAGTTGCGACTAATTAATGCCGAATTGTACCCGATTCAGAGTAATCTCGGAATACTCTCTTTAGAGATTAGTCGCACAATTTTTTCCAGGGTACTTACAGGTCTATTCTGCACGTTACCGAAGATTTTGTGACCGGAAAATTGTATTACCAAAAAATGTTATCACTTCTTGTCACCGCGATTCTAGGTACGTTGGTAATGCAGTGAAAATATTCAGCAGTTCAGCTATTTCATGGGGCAATATTTTGTTATAGTTTATGAGATGGTAACCAAATTTACCGGTTACAAGAGCGCACAGAATGCGAGAAAGGTTTACAAATTGACAGGCACTTTAATTACCGGTTACAAAATTTATGTTACCAGCGCAGAATATACCTGTTAATAGGAACCAGGTTGATACCCGGGTATCTGAGCAATTTCCACAAAACTTGTATTTTATTTTTTTTATTTCGTTTGATATTATTATTTCAAGTGAATTAAATTTTTTAGAGTTAAATTTGTTGAAAAAAGTCCACAAATACCATAAGGTCATAACTGTAGGAAAAAAATAAAAATTCGAGTCTCCGACCTCGTGGCTCACTTCATCCGCAATGTTGCCTATGTCTATAATAGTATTATAACAACAAAGGCGGCCTTCACTAAACCTACATATTATATTTTACACTGAGAAAAGAGTTGAGTTACGACAACTAAATGTGTTTCTCTCAACAAATGATTGGTTATAGTTAGTTTATTTGGTTATAGTTACTAAATTAGGTGTTGAAAGGAATATTTTTAGCTAACTTTTTCTGAGTGTAGGAAAAGCAACACATGGATACATTCACAGCACGATTCTGTGCACTTGATAAATTGAAAATCTTTATAATTTGTAAATTTTTTTAATATTTATCAAGAATTGCTATTCTAGCATAGAAATCAAAAGCTATTTTCTTGATAAATTATCAAGATTGAAAATGCTATTGACAAATTGAAATTTCATGTGAAATTTATAAATTTTGTTTATTAATGAATTTATTTCTAACAATTAAATACTCCATGTGCCGGAATTTGAACCTGCGACACAAGGATTTATAGTCGACATCTCTACCTACTCGGCTACGGCAGTAAAAACCTTTTTTGCTTTTAAATTCATATTTTTCATATGTGATAATGCAATCAGTTCCACTCATGTGGAAATCAGTTCCACTAATGAAATCGTAGAGCTTTTTGTCATGATAAAAATATAGCAAGGTAGAACCGTTCTCTCAATTTGTCGGCCATGATTTTTTTTTGAAGTTTGCCAACATTTTAAAATTATATAAAAGTGAAAATAAAAAAATGAAATTGTTCGAAATTGTTGTTGCTTGAGTTTGAAAATGAAAATGTGTGTGTGAGTTTGTGAGTAAATTTAAAAATTAAATTGTTTGGAAGCGTCAAGAATTTTAAAAGTGACTCAGCGGTTCTACCTTACTATATTTTTATCATGCTTTTTGTTTTATAAATATTGACACAGAACACGAAGGAAGCTTTTACTTGATAAAATTTCTTTACAAAAAAATTATCAAGAAAACACAGAATTGGGCGGTAAAGTTATTTAACACAATTTTTCATTTTGTATTTATTTCTTATAAACCAAAATTAAGTATATCATTCAGAACAGAAATAGAAATGAAATTTCTTTGAATTTGCAATAGTCACTCTTTAGAGCAGAATTATTTGAACGTTTTCAGTTTATCGAAAAAAAACCAGCACACTTCTATATTTTTCGGTGGAAGATTTGGAAATAGAAGAAGTTAATTCTGTGATAAAACCATTTTTCATTTTTAACTGCTAGTTCATTTATGCCCATGCGTATATTTATGTGTATGTACGTATTTCATGCAATATTTAACTGCATGCTTTTCTAACCATGCATGCACATACATACCTACATATGTATGTAAGTATATGTACGTATTTCATACAATATTAAACTGCACGCATTTGCACTGCAAACGTACATTTAAGTATTTAACCGACGTTGGTTTTTAAGATATTAAATTGAATAAGAATATATCTTCCTCATATTAATACAAAAATCATCTTATTTTTGTTCTTGTCGCTTTGAACTGCCTTCGATTTGGACTGCATAACAGGTCACCGCCACCGATGGCGATAAGGATCGCCCGCAGAATATTGTTTACTTTTTGACAGGACAAGGTATCGATCCCGATAATCCTGCCAATAGTAAATTCGACATAAATCGTACCACAGGCGAGATATTTGTACTAAAGGTAAGTCATAGAAATTTCAAATGGATTTTACATAAGTACTTGTGTATGTATGTATGTATTAACAAAATACCCTATTGGATAAAGAGGTCAGCTCAGAACTTCAAAGTTGCAAACTATTTTTCAAGCTGCAATCGCCTTATTTGTATTTCGTAAGCTTGTTTATTACTTTATGATTAACAGTTTAACCTAATATAAACACACGGCGTTTTTATACGTGGGCCATATTATTTGTTTTTCTGCGTCACCCGAAATTGGCTTGCGTGCGTTTGCATTTGATTTTATTGAGCGAAGCGTCAAATAAATATCGTACGCAGAACAAAAATTACAAATTGAGTTAGCTTTTTACGCACGCCGTTCAATTTCGGTTGCTGCTATACAAGTTGTATATGCATGAGAAATTTTTGACTCTAAACTGACGGCGTGCGTGAAGTTTCTGCATATTAAACCAAACCTCTATATTCCTATGTTATTCGACGCCCTGAATGCGAAAACTCAATTAAAATTCAGAAAAATTGTGCTGAATTTTCAGGTTTATTTAGTGAATTTTTCCCTACTTGACGGAGAGGCTAAAACAGNTTGAGCGAAGCGTCAAATAAATATCGTACGCAGAACAAAAATTACAAATTGAGTTAGCTTTTTACGCACGCCGTTCAATTTCGGTTGCTGCTATACAAGTTGTATATGCATGAGAAATTTTTGACTCTAAACTGACGGCGTGCGTGAAGTTTCTGCATATTAAACCAAACCTCTATATTCCTATGTTATTCGACGCCCTGAATGCGAAAACTCAATTAAAATTCAGAAAAATTGTGCTGAATTTTCAGGTTTATTTAGTGAATTTTTCCCTACTTGACGGAGAGGCTAAAACAGACGGCAGCGGATTAACTCGGACTTAATGCGGATCAACTGCAGTTAATTTCCGAGTTGAACCTGATCAACGCTGCCGTCTGTTTATGCTTTTACAGCACTCGGACTCGCATTCAGCGTGTCGAATAACATAGGGACTGTTTGTTTTTGAATATGCACTTCAGTCAAAAGGAGTTCTAAAAGTGTGCTCCGATTTCTAATATCAGATTCTGGCAATCTCCATCTCATTGTACAAATGGAGACGTTTATACTTTTTGACGAAAGCTTTTGTTTCGCTTACTTTAGGCTAAGGGTTCGATTCTTTTTTTTTAATAAATGAGTAATGGCCCGATCATCGCATTAAGAAGTAGTTTTAGCTAAGCCTCTTCCAGGCTTATCGTCAGTATTGCCTTCATCTTTGAATCAGTCTTGTTTTTTTTGAGCTGAAATTAAATGCCTCGTAGGCTTCGTTTTTTTTTTTTGAAGTGAAACTTCTTACACGAGTTCGGAGATGGTTGCGTTAAATATTTAACACCCACTCATAAAATCTGTGCCGTTCGTTCGATTCTCAAGAATGAGGTGTCACATGAAAGGCCTCGTCCTTCCGGTGTGCAACATAGCTTTAGTTCCATAAAAGAAGTTGCCACATGTTAGAAAATTGAATTCAAAATTTCTCAGCCGCAGAGGGTTGCGTTAAATATTTAACACCCACTCATAAAATCTGTGCCGTTCGTTCGATTCTCAAGAATGAGGTGTCACATGAAAGGCCTCGTCCTTCCGGTGTGCAACATAGCTTTAGTTCCATAAAAGAAGTTGCCACATGTTAGAAAATTGAATTCAAAATTTCTCAGCCGCAGAGGGTTGCGTTAAATATTTAACACCCAGTCATAAAATCTGTATCGTTCGTTCGATGTAAAAAAATGAGGTATCAAATGAAAGGACTCGACCTGTAGATATGTAATATGATTTTAGTTTTTTAAAGGGTTGCCATATATACGAAAATCCAATTCAAATTATTTATTAAAATAAATAAAGTATTCCAATATGGGTATCAAAAGAAATGGTTTTGAATAAAGATGAAGATGAAGATGAATATGAAGATGAAGATGGAGATGAAGATGAAGATGAAGATGAAG